GCTGCCTGGCCGGCCTGCACACGCGGCGGGCAGGGCCATGAAGACCCCCTGTAGGCACTCAGAGGGGACCGGGCAGGACCGGGCCGGCTTCCCAGAGTGGGTGATGCTGGGATGACCAAGGGGAAGACCAGGCAGGCGTTTGGACCTCCCGTGGCCTCCATGTCCCCTCCAGCCAGCCCCCTGGGGATGCCGCACGGAGCGGCCACCTTCATGGGCGCGTGCAGCAAGGACAGGATAGACTGCGGCTCCGGGGTCTCGGTGCCCGAGGTCCTGGAAGGTGAGGCGGGCGCCTCGGGGGCCGGTGGGTGCGGGGCGGCAGGTGCCTGGCCGGGTTCGAGCACACGCTGCCCTTGCAGAGGACGAGGAGCTGGACGGCACGGAGCGGGCCTGCGACACCCTGCTCATGTGCATCGTCACCGTCATGAACCACGGGCTGCGCAATGGCGGTGGCGTGGGCGACATCCTCCGCAAGCCCTCCAAAGACGTGAGCACGCCGCCCGCTCCGCGGCCCAGCCTGCCCTCGGGCACGGCCAGGCCAGCGGCGGGGTCCCTCAGTCTCAGTAGTAGCCCCGATTCACCCCCTTTCCCTGACTTCCTGCTCGTCAAAGCGAGTTACGTTGTCGCTGAGCCACCCCGCCCCACCCCGCCATCTGCTCAGACGCCCTGCCAGCTCCCTGCGGATGCTCTAGGGAGAGACCTGGGCGGCCTAGCCTGGCCGAGGCCGGAAGGCGGGGAAGGCGGGAAGGCGTGAGTCAGCGGAGGGCGGGCCCCAGGCCACAGTGCTTCCTCTGTGAGGCCGAGCCCGCCTCTCCCCCCCCAGGGAGCTGACTCAGCTCACGGAGGCCTTGGCATTGGTGGGCGGCCAGCTATCCCAGAACAGCAGGCAGTCCCCGGTCCGAGGGGGTGAGAAGCCCTCTCCCTAGCCAGGCAGAGGGTTTCTGGAACTTGTGAGGCCTGGCGTGCTGAGGGCGGGCAGAGGAGTTCAAGGCTGAGGTTAGGGGCGGGACATGCCTGCCCGGAGCCCCACTCCCAGTCCAGGGCTGTGCCTGGCTGGCCTCCCTTCGAGCCCGCTGTTTCCCAGCCCGCACTCGGGGTGCAGTTCTCGCCCCACGGCGTGAGGGTCACCCATTCTGCCGTCTTCCCTCTGCCGTGGCTGGGCCCCTGACCCACAGAGCCCCCGCCCCGTGGACCGGGACCCGGGGCCCACCTCCCTCCTCGCCCTGCAGGAGTCGCTCTTCCCGGCCCGCGTGGTCTACGACCTCCTGTTCTTCTTCATCGTCATCATCATCGTGCTGAACCTCATCTTCGGGGTGATCATCGACACCTTCGCCGACCTGCGCAGCGAGAAGCAGAAGAAGGAGGAGATCCTCAAGACCACGTGCTTCATCTGCGGTGAGGCCTGCTGCCGCCTGCAGGCCCTGGGGCCCGGCCGCCCCTAGCTGAGGCACGGTCTGGGCCGGGGCAGCCTCCATTGCCGTTCCCTGGGTCCTGAGCCCCTGGGGAACCCTGGCCTGGGCTGATGGCTGTTTGCTTATCTCAGAATTGGGACAACAGGCCCTGCCTGACCTTGGAGTAAGAGGGAGCGGGAAAGGGCCTCAAAGCCCAGTCAGCACCTCCAGCCTCTGGTCTCACCCGGACTCCCGTCCCGTATGAGGTGCCAGTCCCTCCTGCGGCCGCCGCGGGCTGAGGAGCAGGTGCCGCCTGCAGGACAGCCCTGCTTCCCCGGGGCCTCGGGCGCCTGGGGAGGCTGCCTCGGGCAGGGCGATATCCATGCCCAGCGGCTGCTGCTTTACTAGAGGTGGCCCGAGTGCCCGTGAGAAGGCAGTGCCTGCTCTAGCCAGACTGGTGTGCTGCTGCCCAGGTGCCCCCCGGGGCTCCCTGAGGGGGGGCGTCACCCTCACGCTCTGCACCCCCAGGTCTGGAGAGGGACAAGTTTGATAACAAGACGGTGTCCTTTGAGGAGCACATCAAGTTTGAGCACAACATGTGGAACTACCTGTACTTCATCGTGCTGGTCCGTGTGAAAAACAAGACGGACTACACGGGGCCCGAGAGCTACGTGGCCCAGATGATCAAGGTGTGGTCCTGGGAGGTGGCCATGGCCGCCTGCGCTGACCGCGGAGGCCTGGGGAGGGGCGGGACAGCGTGGACACGGTGAAAGGCCGGCAGGGAGCCGAGGCACGGCTGGAGCCAGCCCTGGGGACGTGGCACCGGCTGCCTGTGCCCATGGTCTAGGGTCACAGCAAACCTGTCAGCCCAGCAGCCGGGGTGCCGTCCCAGGCCGTGGGAGCAGGCACACTGCGGCTGCTGCTTGGACGTGCAGAGGGAATGCACTAGCATGTTGGGGGTCAAGAACATCAGTTCAGAGGGTGCATCTCCCGTGGCCGCACAGCAGAGAGCTCCCTGGCTGGAAGGAAAGACCGTTCAGGGGAAAGGGTCCTATTTGCTTGTGCATTTGCCATGTGAGCTGATTGGCTTGCAGGTTTACCAGCTGCTCTGAGGGCTCACAGCTTGGTGCCCTCCCTCCTCCCATAGTGGGAAACGGGGCAGATGCGGGCCTCCTGCTCCCTCGGTCCCACTCGCATCTTCCTGTAGCGTGCGTGCCGGGGGGGAGGGGGAGGGAAGGAGGGAGAAGAGGGATCTGGTGTGGAGGCCTCCCCTCCATCTCGGGGCTGAGTGAACAGACGGCGCTGATAGCGGGAAAGGCCGAGCGGCTAGCGGAAGTCAGCCTGTCCAGTGCTGGCTACCGCAGAGGGTGCACCGGCTCCCCCACACGTCCTGGAGGGTGTTGCCGGGGCGTGGCCACACTGCTTGCTCACCCCCTGGCCGTCTTTTTCAGAACAAGAACCTGGACTGGTTCCCCCGGATGAGGGCCATGTCCCTCGTGAGCAACGAAGGGGAGGGCGAGCAGAACGAGATCCGGATCCTTCAGGACAAGCTGAGCTCCACCATGAAGCTGGTGTCCCACCTCACCGCCCAGCTCAACGAGCTCAAGGAGCAGGTGCGCCCCGCTCCCCGGCACTGCCCACAGCCTCAGGCCCCCGAGCTCACAGCCCGGCCTGCCCTGGCGGGAGGGAGCAGGTGCTGGGCCTGCATGCCCCAGGTCTCCCTTTCTTCCTGCCCCGTCCCTGGGTCTGGGTAGAAGCCGGGTCCCCAACACACTGCCCTCTGTGGAAAGCTAGACTAGAGGTGGCAGCCCATCCTGAGCCCGAGGCACTGCCAGGCGGATCCGGGGGCACCCCTCCCTTGGGTAGGCGGCTTCCCAGCTGCAAAGCAGGAGCTGTGACCAGTGAACTGCCACCGAGGGCCTGGGCTACATGCTCGCTGCCCTGAGGGCCTTGCGCCGAGCGGCAGCGGGGTCCAAGGCGGGAGGGTGGCGCCAGCCCCTCGGCGGCCTCTGTGCAGAGGGTGCCGGGGCCTGACCGGTTGCATCACTTACTCACAGATGACGGAGCAGCGGAAACGCAGGCAGCGCCTGGGCTTTGTGGACGTCCAGAACTGCATCAGCCGCTGAGCCCGCGAGACCCGCCGAAGGCCTAGTGCTGAGCTGTGACTGGGTCGGGGGGCCCAGCCAGCCCACCAGCTCTTGAGGCCAGGTGCCCACCCAGCCTCCAGCTCCTGCTCTGCCAGATTCCCCCAAGCCAACCCGGCCGCTGGCCAGCACGGGGGTGGCCTCAGAGCTGCCAGCCCTGCCTGGAGCCTGGAGGACGCAGAAACTCACTGGGACTGTTTACCTTATTGCCTTAAAGAAAGAGGGCCCCTCAGCGCTGCTGTGTCCCTTGAAGCAGTAACTGACATTCCTCTCCTCCTGGTGGGCGGTTAGGAGTGGGGCCCCTCTTTATTCCAAGCACTACATTTTGGTTGCTGCCCGCCTCCGGGGGAGGGGCAGTGATGCTGTAGCTAGGGACGCTGAGGCTTTGTTACTTAACTTATTCCGGTGCCCGCCCCGCACGCCTCCTGTGCCGCAGGCTGCTGTAGACTGTGGACCTGTGTGTCCAGGGTGCACCTCGGCACAGCCCCAGCCCAGCCCCGCCCCAGGGGGCCTGCCGGCTGAGGGAGGAGGCCCTGCCTCTTCCTGGGCCTCTTCAGGGGAGGGGGGAGGATCACAGGCTGCAGTGAAGGGGCAGGGCTGGGCGTGTGACTGGTTGGTTTTTGCTTGTTTTTTCTCCTTTTGGTGTAATGTTTTACAAATCCTTTGGCCTGAGAACTAATATGTTAATTGCCTTCAATAAATTAATAGAAATATTAATTAGAGTTAATTAGAAAGGGCTGCTGTTTCCTCGGGCCCTTGGGGCTGTGGGGCTCACCTTGGCTCTGGGAGACGCTGTCGGTGACCACACAGGGTCCCTGGACAGAACCAGCGCGGTACTGGTGTCACGGTTCTGGTCTGAGCCCTATGCATGTTGTGCGCACTCCAGCACACACTGGAGCCCACTTGGCTTCTCCCCGTGAGTGCTGTGGGTCAGCTCAGTCTGAAATGGGAAGGCCCCAGTAAGAGCCGCGGTTCCGTGGAGCGGAAGGTGGCCTGTGTGTCCTGGCCTCCACAGAAGCCACCACAGCCCGAGGCCGGGCCACGGCTGTCTGCAGCTCCACTCCATCCCTTAAGCCACTGGGACAGCTTTCTGCGAGGCCAGGCAGAGGACCAGCTCCGTCCCGAGGCCTGGGCATGGGCCGAGCAGCTTCTCTCTGCCGACCACCTGCCTTCGTCCAGGCTGACTCGTTTGGGAGCTCCCAGGAGCTCCCAGCCAGACCCCCGCTGACGGGCTCCTATGGCCGCACAGGAAGCCCTGGCCTGGAGGCCGGACCCCTCCCTTCCCAGCCTCCCAGGCCGGCTGGAGCCCCAGCCTCCTCTCCCCGGAGACGTCCCACCCTGACCGCGGGCAGCTGGGCAGGCAGCTTTCCCTGGGACGGCGCGGCGTCTCCTGTGGAGGCTGGCAGAGGTCCCAAGCAGCGGGCGTGGGGGTCAGGGAGCTTTATTATGACGGCAACACAGACTCCACTCAGGTCCGCGGGCGAGATAAGGACTGGGCCCAGACCTTCTGCTTCTCCTCGGGACTCGTGGCGGCGAACTTCTCCCGCAGTTTCTTCCACAAGCCTTTATTCATGTCCTTCAGCTCCCCCAGCGTGTCTGCAGAGGGCAAGGCAGAGGGCTGACGTCTAACGTCTGAGGACGGAGACTGGCCCCACAGGCCCTCGCATGAGCAGGCCTTTTCACACCGTCTGTCCCCGAAGAGGGGACGTGTAGACCCACCTTCTCAAAGCAAACCAGCTGGGTCACAGGAAAACCACCACCAGGGGGCACTGAGCACTCGTGTACTGGGCGGGGTAAGCACACTGTGCCCTCCCACTCGGCACTAAGCCACGCCCCCGACGCCTGGGCTACACGTGGTGGGCAGATGGAGACGATAAGGTGGGTGTCTATGCCACACACCCGACTATCTCCCTTTTTCAGACGCAGAAACAGGTAGCGGGGGTTAAGCAAGTTGCTCAGGTGGCACAGCCAGGAAGAGGTAGAGCGGGGACCTGAACCCGGGCGTGGTGGGTCCCGTGCTGTGGAGCTGAGCAGGCGCCGGGGAGGGAGACAGACTGCGCAGAATCCCTGCCCATCATTTCCTCACCGGGTCCCCTCCAGCAAGCTCCTTCCCCCGTTAGCCTCAGGGAGAGAAAACACCTGCCTCACAAGCTGTGAGGATGAAAGGCAATCCTGGAGGTAACGCTTGGCACCCGGCCTGCACCCAAGAAGAGGGGCCATCCGCACGGCTGTGACGGCAGCAGGGGCTGGTGGGAGGCCATGGGCCCCTGGTTTAAGGGTGAGTGCACACACACGCACACGCAGGTGCACACAGCCCCCGAGGAACCAAAGCTGGGTTTCTCAGCCTTGGCACAATGGACTTTTGTTTGGGTTGGGGCACAGTAATTCTTTGTTGGGCTGACCTGTGCACTGCAGGATGTTTAGCAGCATCTCTGCTTCTACCCACTAGATGCCAGGAGCAACCCCCGGCCGCACCCCACTCCCAGCTCTGACCACTAAATGCTCCAGACATTGCCACCTGCCCCCCCTCAGGGACCAAAACAGCCTGGTCAAAACCACTGGTTTAAAGTTCCTCCAGGGCTGAGATTCTATACCTAATCTTACCTGTATATTAAGTTTAGATTTCCTATAATATTGTCTACATGTCACAGCCAGGGTTTTTAACTGTTAATACAATAGCTTTTTGGGACAAAAGGCAGCATGTTACTTATTAACACTGACGGTCAGTGGTCTCTTGACAACTAGGACACACAGCCCCCAGCCCCGAGCCCGGGAGTCCAGGCCCCTCTGTGGGGCAGAAAGCGGGATGCTGAGGGCCGAGTCCCTGCCCACTTACAGGCCTCGTGGTCTCCCAGGATCCGCAGGCCACGGTGGACACACGGGACCCAGGCCCAGGCCCGGGGCCAGGCCTCAAACCCTCTCACTGCAGACACGGCAAGGTGTCTTCTCGGCCCCTCGGGAGACACCAGCAAAGCTGAGGAGGGAAACGGCCACGGGCTTCCTGGAGCTGGCCGCCCAGGCCGACAGCGGGAGCCTGCACCTCTGCATGTGGCCTGAGGTCAACAAAGGGCAGAGGCTGAGAATTTGTTTCCTTTTCAGTTTCAAGTTCAAACTTTGTTGAAACGCGCCAAGTCCTCACAATGACCTTGGGCCTCAAGGTGGTAATTTCGGGATCCTGCCTGGTAGACAAATCTTTACCCAGTTTCCCCGGGCACTGTGGTGGAAACAGGATCAGAGTTGGTACAATAGCAGGTGAGGCACCAGGTATGAGTGCTCGGAAGGTACATTTTCTGGAATGCCAAATCCCTAAAACGTAGGAGTTGAAGACAGCCAGAGGAACAGGGAAGAAATTTCTAGAGTACCACAGAGGGTGACTGCTTCAGGGCCAGGCCCTCTCAGAAAAGGGCAGCCTATTTTTGTATATGATATCCTTGCAAATAAAAATAGTAACTTTCCAGAATCTGCTTACTTCGACCCAGGGCTCCTGTCGGGGACAATGGAGGTGCGGAAGTGCTGAGCGCCGGGCTGGCCTGGGCATTTCCTTTCTTGCTAATCACGGCCTATCAACGCCTCCAAGCATGCCCAGTTAAGCCCACATCGAACCCACAGCCCACGTCCCGGGGCCAGATAAGGCGCCCCCCGTGGATATCTCCGTCCATGGGCGTTGAATGGCTTTTTGTTTAAGTAGAAGCCTCATTGTTCAGAAAGCCCTCTCAGGACCATACAAATAAGATTATTTTCCTTCCATCCTGATGGCAACTACTTCCCTTTGGCGATTGTGCATTCCGTCCCTGCTGCTCAGCCCTGAGTTTAAAGGCTCTAAGGATGGAGTTTCTCTTTAAAACACTGCTGCTGACCTCCATAATCTATGGCCAAAGTATAGGGCTGTCGCTCCAGACTCTCCTCGGGGTGTCCCACACTTTCCCGCACAGGCAGAGCGGTCTAACCAGAATCACCTGCGAACAAACCAGGGGGCAGCTGAGCCAGTACCTGTGGAGAGGATCAGCTTGTACTCTTCCAAGGTCAGGCCACTGAAGCTCGTGTCCCGGGGCCGAGGGTACTGGTCGCAGGCAGCGGGGGAGAGAGAAGGGAGGGAGGGTTAGTTCCGCAGCAGCACCACCTGGGACCTGCGATCCTGGAGAAGCCTGGCTCTGACGGCGCGCACTGGGCCGCGGGAGTGACGAGAGACCAGAGGCCCGGCAGGCAGAAGAGCAGCGCCACCTGGAGCCCAAGATGTGGCCTCGCAAGTACAGGCATCATCTGGCAGGCGGGCGGTTGGCGGCTCCCCGCGGGGAATGCTCTGGGCCAGTGCAGGCTGTCACCCAGCTGGCTGGCCCTCGCGGCTCCTTTCTAGCCAGCTCCCGGGGGGCGCTGCTGCTCGGAGCCACACTGAGCCGCACTGAGGACTAGAAGAAACCTCTTCCACGCGGCGAGGCACGGCCATGCCCAGGGTGGGGCCGGGTGGGGTCACTGGCTCATATGGAAGATAACACAATAATAAGTAACAACACAAGAGTAATCTCTGTGCTTTGTATACTCACAACCCTAAACCTACTTGGCCCCACGCTGCGTATCGGGGGAATTACCGGCACAGCTTTCAAGGCTGTGAAAACCACACTCCGTGGGATTTGGCAGAAATCACTCAGGCCGAGGACGTCAGTTTGTCGGCCAGGACGTGCCCATCACCCATCTCTGTCAGCAAGAGCAGGGACGCACTTCCACCAGAAGCCAGACTCACCCAGAAGCCCACACTGGCATGCAAATCACACGTCTTTTATTCAAGATTATAAACAGCTTTTGGTTAAGGGGCCTAAAAGCTTCTATGAGGTGCCTTGGGTGGCTTGCTTGAAATTATTGGTTACATTTGAAAGTAGCAAAACCGACATTCTTTACGCACAATAGGATTTTCCCTTGTTCCGGGGACAGGAAAGACTGCCACTCACCTTGTGCTTGTAATAGTTTGAGTGAAGCCGAGCTAAGCTCTCGTACATCTCGTCGCAGGCCTCAGGCTCTGCCACCTGAAACACAAAGAGCCCAGGCAGTGAGCCTGCTGCCCTGCCTGCCAGCACCCCAGCGCCCCTCCGCAGGACCTGCCAGGAGCTGCTCCCCCGAGGCAGGCAGTGCTCCCTGGCCCACCCCCTCACTCCCCTATTAGAAATCACATCATGGAGTAATGGCTCCACCTCTGGCAGGAAACTCCCACCTGCTGCCAGGAAACATTTAAGCATCTGCGCCTGGTGAGCCACCACCCCAGCTGCAGTGGAGACGCCACATCCTATATAATAACAGTGTAATATGCAAACCGACTGACCGAACAGCCGAACAGTGGAACGACCATCCGGGACCATCCGGGGCCATGCCATGACACCCATGGCGCCAGAGCCAAGGCGGGTGTGATGTAATTGGTCAGAGGCCTGGCCATTGCCCCATGATCGTCCCATATAAGGAGGTGTAGGCCACTGACAGCGGGCTGTGCGGGCGGGCCTCCCTCTGAGGAAGCTCAGGTCCTGGGTGCCAGCGGCCAGAGGGAAGCCCAGGTCCTGGGTGCCAGTGGCCAGAGGGAAGCCCAGGTCCTGGGTGCCAGTGGCCAGAGGGAAGCCCAGGTTGCAGGTGCCAGAGGGAAGCCCAGGTTGCAGGTGCCAGAGGGAAGCCGGTGCAGGCAGCCGAGGGAATTTTGTGCGTCGGGCCTTAGTAAACATGTAACACAGGAAGGCGCACCTCACCAGGGGGCGCTGGGACAGTGTGGGCTCCGGGAAGCCGGAGCAGGTGTGTCCCGGTGTGAGTGGTCAGTGTGGCAGAGGGTGTGACTCTGAAGGACACACGGAGGCACTTGCTGGTGGAGGAGTGGTGAGCCGGGTGGAGGGGCAGGAATGCTGGCGGACGGTCTGCGTGTGCAGGTAAAGAAGCTGGACGGAGGAAAAGACAGATCCTGGAGGTAAGCCTTCAATGTGAAATGTGTCACCTAAAGATTCTTTTATGAAACGCAAACAGACTCATCTGTGCGGAGTGGGGAGCGGTTGGAATCTGCACGGGAAGAACGTGAGAAACCAGTGTGTTGAGTGGAGACGGCTGCCCGGAGGGAACCAAGGGAGACTGCAGGTAGGTCCTGCTAGGAAGGGCAAGGCCTGAACCTGGGGCCCTGAGAGTAGAAAGGGGAAAGTAGAGAAATATTGTGGCCCTGACTGGTTTGGCTCAGTGGATAGAGCATCTGCCTGGGATGGAAGGGTCCCGGGTTCGTTTCCAGTCAAGGGCCCTTGACTCGGAATTGAACCAAGACCCATCAGTCTGTGGCCGATGCTCTAACCACTGCGCCAGACTGTGCAGGGCTCAGTGATAATCTTTACAGGAAAAGAAGCCCTTTGGCCCAGGCTCGCCTACTGCCTTTACCCGCCACACGCATGTCTCTCTCTCCCGGGGTCAGCGCCTCGGCCCGTCTTTGTCTTTTAAGTACTGACGCTTTTGAAGCGACTGGCCAACTTCACCTTCACCTTGTCCTTTCTGACTGGAAGGGTGATAACAGCCCTGGTTCTGAGCGCGGTGCGAGGGTGGGAGGCGATGCCGCCGCTGACTGGGCCCTGCACCCTCATGGAGTGAGGGCTGGTCTGGTTACCATTAGCAGCCAAGGCTGTGTGAGCACAGGGCCCCTGCCCATGACAGGGACAGAGAGGAGGCCAGGAGGATGCTGGGGGCGGTGGGGTGAGGGTGCTGTGGGTACCGGGAGGTGCGGACGCTGCCCAGGGGCCAGGGAGACCAGGCGGAGGGTGCCGGTCTCTGCAGGCACAGGACCGGGGAGCAGGTGCCCAGGGTGCCCAGGAAGGGCAGTTAGGACAGATCAGCGGATTGTGCTGCCCTGTGACTGCTGGGGTGTGACGGAGGAACCGGAAATCAGATGTCGCTGTGCACCTCCCAACCCCCTCTCTCGGGGCTCCTGCCACTGCTTGTAGGTCCACTGAGACCGGGCATCCTCGTCAAACCCACGTTCCTGCCAGATCCTCGCCCTCAGAAATCTTGCCAACACAAGCTCTTCTCCTGCTTCTCTAACTTCCTAAGGGTGGGCACGTGCCAGAGGGCTGCCCAGCCACCTCCTCCATACCCTCAGCAGGCGAGCAGGGCAGCAGGGCGAGAGGACAGACCCCGCCAGAGCACTGGTCCCAGGAGGGCAAAGAGCGGAGGGTCTGAGTGAGCAAACAGGGACCCTCCGGGCTCCCTGACCTCTATCACCCCTGTGAGCTATGGCACACCATGCCTGGAGCTCACCAACAATGACAGGAGGAGCCGAACACTTCCAGCGCCATAAATAACCAATCACCAGCAACTTCCCGGCTGGTCAGAGGTGTGTCTAGCAGGCTGTGGAAGTGCTTCATGGAGGTGATGAGTTTGCACTTGCCAACGTCTAGCCAAGTTACAACGGCCACGGCCTAAGGAGCCGGCCCACAGCCACTTCCGGTTCCGTCACACCGCAGCCAAGTTCAGCAATTAAAGAACAGTCCTGTTTACTACCTACAGGGCCATCCTTCTCTAACGCCAGAAGGCTCGGCACACACCTGCACCTGCACTTACCCACGGCCTCCAGCACAAGCTCTCCCGAGTTTGGACATACATCTGACGGATGACAGTACCTGCACTTTTGGAAACGTCCTTGTGTACAAGCTTTAAATGACCCCATTTTGCATTCACACCTAATGAGACGGCGGGCATCTCGGGACGAAGAGCATAGCTGCTGAGAAAGGCGAGTGGCACATTAAGAAAAAGTCAGCTCTGCTCCCGAAATGTGAATAAAATACATGCCCAACTGGCGAAGTGCCCTCCACGGCTCTATTTCCGCTCCTTTGCATTTCGCCTGCTCAGCCATCAGTAGATTTCTCTTTACCATATTAAACTTTTATACTTAACAAGTACGTCGGCGCCGCAGGCATGGACTCCCATTTTCAAAATTGAATTTTGGGTGGTGACAGCAATTGGTACAGCGGCCCCTATTCTAGTCACACAAAGAGACTCATAAGCACTTTGCGAAAGGGGGATGCAAATTGCTTTGCTAGTTAAGAACGAGCTGGATCCAGTCCAGAAGGATCTACGAATAGCGGTTTTCATGACTTGGTAATGAACTTCTGAAATGAGCTCCCTCTGCCGTGGGCCGACTCCCTTTGAGCACCTACTGTGCAGAGCCCGCTAGGAGGCTGTGGGAGGACGAGACTCGCCTCAGCTCGGGAGAAACTGCAGTCACTGCGGAGACAAGATGGGCTGGAAATAAGAAATCAAGCATGGCCTGGCGGCCTGTAACTGAGCGCCAGGTACAGATCAGAGTGGAGCGGGTGCCAGGCCTGGCCCATGGGCAGCTGTGGCTGGGAGGCCTCACGTTCCACTGCAGTGACAGTGCAGAGTGGGGGCAGCGAGTCCGTCACTTTGAGGGGAGTAGACTTCAGCGCTAGATGTGGCATGGGTGGAACGGGGTTGGAGGAGTGACTGGGAGGAGGAGGCACAAAAAGGCACAAGGCTGGTCCCGGCAGGCGGGGTCCTGAGCCAAGCAGTGCTTCAAGGACCTGGAAGCCACCGCCTTCTTGGCAAGCCGTGTCTGCGGGGAGCACGGCGGTGCTCACAGGCTGAGGGCCACTTGCTTGTTCTATGGCCGATTGGGAGGCCATGAGAAGACACCCTTGCTGAGGCAGGGCACGTGCCGGGTGCGGTGAGAGGTGAAACACAGGCTGGAAGCGGGACCAGAGGGCAATGAAGGCCTCACAGAGCTGCCTGCCACCAGTCCAGGAGGTGGTGGGCAGAGCCCAGGGTTTCTGAGTAAGGTGGAGACTTGCTGAAAGTGAGTTTACCCTCCAGGCCAGTGGTCGGCAAACTCATTTGTTAACAGAGCCAAATATCAACAGGACAATGATTGCAATGTCTTTTGAGAGCCAAATTTTTAAAACTTAAATTTATTCTAATGCCACTTCTTCAAAATAGACTCGCCCAGGCCGTGGTATTTTGTGGAAGAGCCACACTCAAGGGGCCAAAGAGCCGCAGTTTGCCAACCACAGCGCTAGGCCAAGGGCCATTTGGATATAACATCATTCACCAGCCATACACAATCAACTTAAAAATTAGCCTGCTAAATAAATAAAATAAGAAGCTAGCCTGCTATATTTCGTGACGCATTTCATGCTCTCACCCTTTCGCCTTTGCCTTGAGGGCAGTTCCCGCCCTGCTCTAGGGGCACACGCCCAGGAGTGCCAGCCGGGCCCCACCAGCCTTCCCCACTCCAGCTCCCTCACTCTCTCACAACTCCTGTCCTGCAGCGGGTTCAATGTTACAGCCGAAAAGACCTGTCCCTGGCCACTCCTCAAGCGCTTGGCTGCAGGGCACCACACACGCAGTGAGCCACGCTGAGAAGGCGCCACCACTGCCAGGTGCCGGCCACACTGCAGAATGCCGCAGACCAGGCCTCAACCGGGCCGCTGCGAAAACAAGACGATGTGAAACCTCTGAGTTCCGCTCTGAGAGTGGGAATCTCATTGACGTCACTGCAAGCCCAAGACCAAGTTCAACTTCGTACAACGGGCCGACTGTCCTGGAACCTGGGTGGCACCCAGAACCCACTGGCAGCTCCTCAGAGCTGTGCCACGTCAGGGAGTGGGTGCCTGGTGACAGGGCTCTTCAGGCAGCTGCTTGTCACCTACTGAGCTCATGAGGACTGGCTCCTTTCCCTGCACTTAGGTCAGCAATGACAGTGTTCCCGCCTCCCCATGCCGGGGTTCTTTGTGAAGCGCGCGGTCTGCAGGGAGCACTGTTCTCCTCAGTAAATGCATTCAAGGGGCAAACCCCGCGAACAGGCTGCGCCAGAGGGCAGAGGTGTAAGAGTGTTGGTGTGTCCCTGCTTTCCACCTCCCCTCCCTCCGGGGGGTTTGGTGTGGCCGCGAGACTCCCCAAGGGCCATCTGAGGTGGAACAAATGGGGCAGTGGTTTTGGACTCTGGTTTTGAGTCTGAGTGCACTCCTTTTCCAGTGAGTCTGGCTTTTCTGTGCTGTGTTGCACCGAGGCCCAGCTTCCTTCCCACCTCGGCAGGGAGGAGGGGCTGGGCCAAGGAAAAGCAGGCGGGTCACCACAGGGAGATGTTCCATCCTTTGCCAAACCGCATGGTCTGAAAGGTTTGAGCAGGGAATGAGGGCGGGAGAGAAAGCTGACGTCTATGGGAAAAGAGGCCTGACAACAAGAAACAGCTCAGGTGGCCAGCAGCTGAGGAGCCACTGCACACGGAGGCCACGCCGGAGCGGCCAGGCCAGCTGGTCCTGCCACTCAGCTCCCAGGGGACCCTGGGTGGGTCGTTTTATTTTATTTTGTGTCCTGGCCTGTAAAATGGAAATAGCAATGGCTACTTCACTCGGCTGCACGCAGGATTAAATTAAATGAGATCATGCGAGCAAAGCGTGCAGTGTCATGGTCAAGGCGTAGGAGGCCTGAGGCTGCCCGCCCCTCCTGTGGAGGCACAGGAAGGCTGTGGGGCAGAGCGCCTCCCTCCAGGCCTGTCTTTCTAGCATAACCAGGGGAGCTCCCCTCTAACCAGCCAACGGGTCTAATGCCCGACCCCTTTCTCCTCAGGGTCTTTATAACTGACCCACGGGGTCACGGCGAGTGCCTCCAGCTGCTGTTTGCAATGCCAGAAGGGGCTGCTCCCTTCAATCTGGTCCAAGGCTTACTAAGCCCAAGCATGTTCTCAGGTGACACCAGCATGAGGTACCAGGACGGTGGTCACGAGGACAGTGCCTGCTGCCACCATGATGCCCTGGGATGCCTGCGTCAGCTGCTCTGGAGCCACGGCCTGAGCCAGGACTGGACCTGCGGCCATGCCCCCCATCTGTGTGCCTCCCACTCACCAGAGCCACCGCCCCAGGTGAGACAGAGAAGACGGTCCCAGAGGAGAACGCTCTCCCCGCCTTTTCTGGCTTCTCTCAGACTCAGCCCAGTAGGCGAATGTGACTCTCCCCTCTCCCAGGATGCAGCCTACGCTGGCCTCCCTGCGGGCTGCCTTCCACTTGAATGTAATCAGAGGGAAAGTCATGTCTGCCCACCCGTCAGCTTCTTGGACACAGGCCTCTTGCCCACGACAATGGGACAGAGAGGAGGCCAGGAGGGTCTGGTGGTGGTGGAATGAGGGTGCTGTGGGTACAGGGAAGGGCCAGATTCCTCCCCTCATCTGTGGTTCCTGCGGTGACCCACACAGTAAGCTCTCAACTCAGCTCTCACCACTCAACCTCACAGGACACACCAACATCCCCTTCTCACCTCACTTCCTCTCCAGCTAGTTCTGCTACATCTGCAACTAGGTTCCAATGAGATGTCTCATCAGCCACAACCGTTCACTTATGTATTCGAACATTTATCCAATGTCTTTTACGGGGAACGTGGGGATAAAAATGGCAAACTCTCAGGAAGTTCACACTACAACTATGTAGGGAGCAGAGTCCTAGAAAGTCTATTTGGGGCCAAAGCCAGTTTGGTTCAGTGGATGGAAGGTCCCAGGTTCAATTCGGTCAAGGACATGTACCTGGGTTACAGGCATATCCCCAGTAGGAGGTGTGTAGGAGGCAGCTGATCGATGTTTCTCTCATCGATGTTTCTAACTTTCTCTTTCTCCCTTCCTCTCTGTAAAAAAAAAAAAAAAAAAAAAAAAAAAAAATCAATAAAATATATATTAAAAAAGTCTATTAGGTTTTCAGAGTTGGGGCTTGATATGCCTTCAGGATCTTTATGCTTTGGGACAGCGAAGACCCAGAGGCATGAGGGCCCCTGCACCCCCCTCCCCCAGCTCTGAGCCACTCCATCCATGCCCACCACCCACTCAGCGATGGGTTTCAGTGACGCCACTGGGCATGTTCTTGCTCCAGTAGGTGGGCTGGCTTGGCTCTGATTTAGGCTAAGTTGCAAAAACCCTTACAAGTTCCTGTTTTGATAGGTCATGGCTAAACTTTGCAGAAGTCATCTCTTCAGGCTGCATGAGTGTATCACGTTTCATAGCTGCCTCTGCCTGAGCCCCAGGCTCACGTATCCCACTGCCTACTGACATTTCCACTTGGAAATAAGTCCACTCGGTATCTCAAGTTTAACATGTCTACTTCAAACTTGAGATGTTTTTTTTCCACACCCCACCTGTTCCTCACCTGTCCTTTCCATCTCAGTAGCTGGTACCACCTTTCACCCAGTTGCTCAGGCCAAAAATATCTAGGTGTTGTCCCTGGTTCTTCTTTCTTTCCCCCCCACATCCACTGTGTCAGCAGCCCTGTGGATGCAGCTTTACATGGCAACTGGAATCCAGCCCCTTCATCCCGGGCTGCCACCCTCATCCCAGCCACCACCTTTTCTTGCCTGGGCTATCACGGTGGCCTCTGCTCCAGGCTTGTTTTATTCATGTCCCCGTAACCCATCCCCCACATACAACCGAAGCAGTCTTTTTAAAAAAAAAACATAAATTAGGTCACACCAGTCCCCGGACTAAATACCCCCTCCCAATGGCTTTTCACTGGCATTCTAATAAAATCCAACTCTTAACCACAGCCTGTAAGATTCTACCATGCCTGGCTTCTCCGACCTCAGTTCTTAGCAAACTCCATTTCCCTCACTACCCTCAGCCACTATTGCTGTCCTCCAACATGCCCATCTGCTTCCTGCCTCAGGACCTTGCACAGCCCGAAATGCCCTATTGTTGGCTTTTCTTAGGTCTAATCAGTGTGGCACCCCCTTAGTATGGCCTTATTTGACTATCATAACTAATATTATTCCTTTATCATGCTACTCAATTTTTTTTTAATCCTCACCTGAGGATACTTTTCCATTGGTTTTTAGAGTGGAGGGGGAGAGAAAGAAAGGAAAATGTTGATGTGAGAGAGACACATTGATTAGTTGCCTCCTGCATGCACCCCAATCAGGGCTGATAGAGCCTGTAACTGAGGTACATGCCCTTGACTAGGAATTGAACCCAAGACCCTTCAGTCTGCAGGCTGACCCTCTATTCACTGAGACAAACTAACTGGCCAAGGCTGCTATTCTATTTTACATCATAACAGTTGACCCTTGAACAACACAGGTCTGAACTACACAGATCCACTTAAACAAGGGACCATATCTCTCTATATAAAAGCCTAAGCAATCGGCCAGTAGCATGATGCACAATGACCACCAGGGGGCAGACGCTCAACACAGAAGCTGCCTAGCTGCCAAGACTTGGCAGCTGTGGTTCTTGGGTGACACACCTGGAACCAGAGAGGAGGGAGCACCCCTCAGGGGATGCCTGAAAGCTGGTTTCGGCCAAATCCCCGCATGCCGGGCTGAGGAACCCCACCAATGCACGTGCACTGGTCCTCTTGTATTCAATAAATATGTACAATACTGTAAATGTATTTTCTCTTTCTTATAATCTTCTCATTAACATTTTTTCCCTCTAGCTTACTTTATTGTAAGAATATAGTGTATTTTACATGTAATATACAGAATAACATACAGAATATATGTTGACTGTTATCAGTAAGGCTTCCAATCAATAGTAGGTTTTTGTGTTGTTTTTTTCTTCCAGGTGGGGGTGTCAAAATTCCATGTGGATTTTCAATTGCTGGAGGTGGGTGTTGGTGTCCCTAACCCCAAGTTGTTCAAGGGTCAGTCATATTTACCTAGACTGCCTTATGTATGTATCCTTGCTTATTTTGTCCAGACCTAATACGTAAACTTAATTTTCATGTGGTAAGATCTCACCTGATTCATCAGTGTCTCTCCAGCACCTGGCACAGTTCCTGGCACATGGTGGGTGCTCAATAAATACCGAATCTACAAATGACGCAATCCCCACGCTGCAACAACACGGAGGAGAGCAGGACGGGAAGTCTAGGGCTCACAGGGGAGTGCGGCGGAGGGTGCACAGCGGCTGCACGGACTTACAGGCGCCCGGGGAGCATGTATCAGCTTAGCGGGGCCTGCAGAGGTCCGTGGGGCCGCGCTCAGGGAGCGCACAGCACTGCGAGGGAAGGGGAGTGCCACCAGCGGTGGTGGGGTCTCCACCGGGCTGCACCTTGAGCCACCTGGAGAGCTGACTTCATATGCGGGCATTGGTGGGTTTTAAGAAGCTTCTCCGGTGACTCCCAGGCGCAGCCAGAGGAGCGCACTGGGTAGAGCAGGTCGTCGCTCTCTGGGTTCCCCGGATGGCAGGTTCCGCGCGCACGTGCCGCCAGGGAGGAGAGGCGCGCGCATGCGCGGCCATCGCCGCCCGCCAACTAGCAGGTCCTCCCCTACCTCGTTCTTCCCTCCCCTCGCCCAACCGCCGCCCCGCCGAGGGCGGACCCCACGGTCTGGTCACCTGGGTGTTCTCTCCCTCCCGAAACGCCTGTGCTACCCGCTGCCGCAGGTAAGCGCCCAAGTCCCGGCCCCGTTTGGTCTCGTCCACGGGCCATTCCTCACAGAGCTTAAGAAAACGCCGGTAGCGGCTGGCCGCCATCTTGGGCCCCGCTTGTCCCCGCCCTTGAGGGAGGAGTCAGCCGGCGCTTGCGCACTGAGGCCCGCAGCTCCCTGAAGGCGGGGCGGGAGGGGGGCGGAGTGAGCATGCGCACCTCAGGGGCGCCCGGCTCTCCGGCAGGGGCGCTACCGGCCCGTCTCTGCGAGCCGACCCGGCCAGGCCGCGTTCTCCAGGAACCCGCCCAGCAACCTGGGGCAAGTCCGACGCGGGGAACCCCAGGGACAGCTTGGCTTCTCGTTTTCAATGACTGCACAAGCTCCAGACTAAAAAACCCTCCCGGGAGAACCGTGCTGATTTGCATAAATGGGTATATTTGCATGCAAATACAGGTTGTTATGGGATGAAGATGTGTTTGACCTTAAGCACGCATTGTGCACACGCGGCTCGCACCCCACCTCCTGCCGCATTCTCTCCTCGCAGCCCCTGCGCCTGTGGCTGCCACTCGGTACTCCGTCACAACTCCTCCAGTACTCCTCGGCCTGCTCCTCCCAGCGGCCCCTCCCTCCCAGCTGGAGCAAAAAAACTTGGGAAATCGGTTTTTTAAAACCAAGCCTTCACTGTACATCTCCATGTGGAATGTCCCATTTTTTCTTTTAAAGAAATACCAGCACCTTCCAGATTTCCCTTGAGAAAGCCTCAGCCCCTCCGTGCCCTCCGTCCTGCTTCAGCCGGACTTCCCAGGCTGCAGCACCCGGCTCCCCCAAGCCTTTCCTCTCACCCCTACTTTGTCCAGGGTTGACCAGGAGACTCCCGCCTTGAGCAGGGGGTGAATATACAGCCAAAACCCAAAGCTCAGAGCCCGAGGCCTTACACTGAAGCGTTAGAGAGTGCTGGGAGCTTGGAGAAAGACTTCCAGCTGCTCAGGGAGCAGCGGGCAGAGATTGGGGCACACCTGAAGGAGATGGCCTTTGGCTAGGTCTTGAGGGCTGGTCAGGATTTGGGAAGTGGGAATGAAGGACACTGAGCCTCAGAGCCAGGACGTGTGCAGGAACCGGAGAGAGAGGAAGAGGAGGAGGCTGATTTGGGGAGAGATCAAAAAGAGGTTTTAACAAGGAACAGCTTTGCGCTGTTCTGGAGGCGGTGAGAGTGAGGGTCTATTGAATGAGAACCTCTGGGGACCCAGGGTGTGCACCGCCCACTGGAAGTGAGTGCAGGGAGGGGTGCTCACTGAGGGAAAGAGAGTTGGGGGGGGGGAGGGGAATGGAAATGCACGAAAGGGCTCCCCTACATGTTCCAGCCCAATTGTATCCCCTGCTCCACCTTGGCTGCCCCATGGCTCAAGGGGCCAGGGTTCCATCTATTTACTAGGCCTGTGCTGGGCCTGAGCCGTGTTCTGCCTGAGGTCCCACAGCCGTGGCTCTGAACAGCACCTGACTAGCGAGGACAACTCCTGGGAGGCAGGGACGGTCCCTCTGTCTTCGGCAAGAGGAGGAGCCACGTTAGGTGGCAGTGAATGGTTTCCACCCCCTTGAGCCCAGGTGCAGTGAGAGGCCGAGGAGAAGAGCTGGACGCCAGGGGAAACCCAAACCCGTGCCTCCTTTGAAGCCTCTTCCCCAGCCCCCAGCCCAGAGAGCGTCCTGTGGTCAGGGTAGGGTTGGCCCTGGTTCAGACTTACCCGTCCAACTCTTCCCCTCCCAGAGCGTGCTTCTGTCTTGGTGGTGTAGTAGTGAGGCTTTGGGCCTGGGCTGGAAAGTGGGCTTCTTCATTCATTCATACATCTAGGACTGCTCTGTATATTTTATGGAGGCTCCATGCAAAATGAAAATGTGAAGCTCCTTGTTAAAAATTATTGAGAATTTCGGGACAGTAATAGAGAGCATTACAGCAAAATTGGGGCCCTTCACAGGTCACACACCATGAGACCGCCCTGCGCGTTGGTGGGTGAGACTGACAAGGGCCCTATTCTGGGGGCTTTACCTTTAAGTGGGGGAGACAGCCAGAGAGCATGCACTCACCATGGTCATAGCGCTTTGTATGTATGAAGTCGTTCACTAACTGAATAAGATAATTCAGATGTGGTAAGTGTCAGGGAGGGTTCGGGTGATGAAGGGAGACCTGTGTGTGTGTGAGACCTGACTCCCCCGAGGGGCAAGAGCGGCTTCCAGGCAGCGGGCAGCCAGATTGGGGTGGCTTATTTAATCCATCTGAGCTTCAGTTCTTCACCTTAAAACAGGACTCACAGTGACCAGCTAACACTGTGTGTCGGCTACGAGCCGGGCGCTGTTCCGATGCCTCACACACACTGACTCACGTAGTCCGAACAGTGGCTCAGACAGGTGCCACTCGGTCTCTGTTTTACTGAGATGGAAACAGGCACAGAGAAGCTATGGACTTGCCAAGGCTGCCGGCTGGTAAATGGCAGGTCCTGGGCTTCAGAGTCCACGCTGCTGCCCTCTTCGGCCTCCTGGAAGCGTTGTGGTTGTGGACTGCATGCGTGATGTGTTTCTGTAAGAGTCAGTGTCCTGAGGGTCCTCTCCGGTTTGCTTACTTGGTCCCCAGCGCCCACACCCCATGTCTCCGTGGGTGTCTGGAGTTAAGTCTGGTCACTGGCTTGTGGGTCACCCAGTGCCATTATGGGCACATTAATGGGCCCAGCCTAGGATGTGGCTTGGCCAGTGCCAGCCCCCAGAGAGTTGATGAGCCTTTGACACCCATGTGCCCACTGCCACTCATTCCACACAGACTGCAGCCCCCTCCTGGCTCCTTGAAAATCCCACCAGGACTCACCTGCAGAGCCCCTGGGGGGGAGGGGAGACTTGGGCTTTCTGGAGCTGTGACCATTATGGAAACAAGGCACCGCCAGGCCAGGGGAGCGGGGAGGGAGAGAGCCGGCTTCAGTTTTCCAGTGCTGACAGCCCCAGTAACTGAGAGGCCGGATTGCACATGTATAATAAATCGCTTGAAAGTAAAAATGTCTGTTTGTGATGCTGGTGTTAGTAACACAAACATTTAAAAGGAATTAAATAGTTAGCTGTATTGTAAGGCCTGATTGCCTGATTTTCTTCTTTCAACTTACGCACCTAGAGGAGATGATTGGCTGCTGCCCCCAGAGATGTTACCATAGGAAGTGGGCTGGGACTGCATCCGAGCCGTCCCCTGAAAGGCGGCTGCTGCCCTCGGTGGAGGAAGCTCTTGTCAGGACGCACAGGGTTTGAGGGGGGCTGGGATGGCCTCGGGGCTCCTGAAGTGCACCCTGTCAGCTCCAGAGCCCGGGTCCCTGCTGACTATCTTGTCACCTGCCCTCCCTTCCCTCTGCTCTCCTGTCCATGTGCCCAGAGAGGCCTCCGGGGCCATGGCTGCAGCTAAAGTCGCAGCCCCACCCCTTCGGGCGCTTCGCCTCACAGCACCAGCCACTCTCACCCCAGGCCCGGCTCAGGGTGGTCCCTCACTATGAGAATGGGGAGAGAACTCGAGAATAGGAAGCCAGGTCTCCTCACCCACTGTTCCCACCCTCACCCCGGCTCCCATAGCTTCTCATTCTTAGAGGCTGGGGAGCATGGCGAAGGGCAAACGGGAGCAGGCTTCTGGGTTTTGTTCTTGGATAAGCTGTCACACTTCCTGTCCCTTGTCAGGGCAGCTGCGTGGGAAGGGAGCCGTTCTGAGCAACGGTAATGAGAAGGCCCGGCCGGCGCTGCGGACAGCCTGCCTGGTGCGCTCAGCTTGGCATTGCCCAGAGCTGCTTCTCCTTCCCTCCCCCTCCCTCCATCCCCCCTCCCTTCTTCCCTCCCTTCCCTCTCGTTCCTGGCACCCACGCCTTCATTTCAGATCCTTTCCTCATCTAGTGTTGGTTGTGTTTGGCCACAGAGGATACAGATTTAAATCAAGCCAGAGTTTAGATCATTTTGAAGAGCTGCTGATGAGTGTTTTATGAGGCTGCTTCCTGCCCTTTCCAGCATGGGCTCAAAGGCTCCACGCAGCTGGCAGGAGCGATGGGGCTGCCAGGCTGCTGCCCGGAGGCCAGGGCTTCCCGACAGCATTGCCTTTAGCTCCCTCCTCAGTGCACGAGGACACCAGGCACAGAGGCGGGGCTGGGCGCCGCTCCAGGCTGCCTGGTGCTGCCCTGAGGAGGTCAGGAGCAGCTGCTCTTCCACATCACCTGCCCTGAGAATCAGCATTCTTGTGGACGGAGAAGGAAGCAGGTCGGGAGATGCTAGTAAATCTACCAGACTCGGGGCGCACGCCGCCTGAGGACACGGCGAGGATCAGAACTGCAGCTCAGGTACTGCCAGGCCCTGCTGCCCCCCATGCTTCCTTTGGCTCTTCATGTCCCTGTTTCTCTCTTCACCTTTTCAGTATTAAAAATATATGTTATTGATTTTTTTTTTACAGGGAGGAAGGGAGAGGGATAGAGAGTTAGAAACATCGATGAGAGAGAAACATCGATCAGCTGCCTCCTGCACACTCCCCTACCGGGAATATGCCCTCAACCAAGATACATGTCCTTGTCCAGAATCAAACCTGAGACCGTTCAGTCCACAGCTGATGCTCTAACCACTGAGCCAAACCAGTTAGGGCGTGCTTCTCCCTCCTAAGTCAGGTTAAATCACTTTAGCATGAGGGTGATGGAGAAAGAGGTCACGGTAGAGGTTGGATTCTCATCAAACCTACTTCCTCTTCGTAGGCTCACAGTTAACCACATCTCAGCCCCTTAGCATCCGGGAAAGGCCACACGACTGGTTCTTGTCCATGGCATGTTCTTCTCCATGCTGTCCAAGGCTTCGGCCCTGGGGTGAAGATGGTTGAGTCACAGGATAGAAGGGGCCTGGGTCCCTGGATGACTGTGTGGTTCAGAGTCTCTCTGACAACTACATTGGATTGTATTGTTAAGCTACTGATATTGGAAATAAGCTAGTCTACCCTGGTAGCTGTGTGTTTTCCAGTTCAAAAAAGAAGAGAGCTCCCAGTCTGGGAGCCTCTGGTATGGGAGGCTCTTAGGTGCTCCAGGCGAGGGGGAACTGGAGAAGGGGAAGGTTCTGAGGTCTTTTCTGCTCTCATGTTCTGAGGTTTCTCCATTTCCATCTCACTCTCTCTTGTGCCAACACAGACCACACCCTGAACGGCATGCTGGGGTCCCCATTCCCGTGCTGAATCCATTCCTGGAACACCTGCCCTTTTTCACCTTGCAGACTTGCCTCCCTTTCAAGGCACAGCTCCAGCACCACCTCCATGACCACCCCGTTCGGCAGCGAGCTCTCTGCCTCTGCCCTCCTGGGAGCACTCGCACAGCTGAGCAGGTGCTGCACACCGTGGAGCACCTGTGATGCTTTCCTATGAGGGCATGTACTCTCGCTAAGTCTTAAGGTGTGTAAGGATGGCATCTCGATCCTCACACTTCCTATTTCCTACTCAGGCCCTAGCACTCAGGCCCTGGCGTATGTACCTGGCGTATGCACTCAGAAAATATTTCTTGGATGAATAGATGGAAGAAAGGAAGGAGGACAGATAACAGAACTCACAAATGAATGAGCAACTTGGACAGATTTTTAAGTGCCTCCATCATCAGGCTCACTCTGTTTTTCTACTCTTCATTTTACTCCCAGTCACAAAAACCCCATTCTGAATGGGCTGGTCTGTCCACAGACTCATGAACATGCCGGGCTTTTCCTTCACTCCACTCCCAACCCCACCAGTCCTCCAGCCCCTCCCCACCCGTCAGCCTTCAGAGTCTAGGTGAAATCTCGCCTCCTCCAGCAGTTTCTGGGACAACTCTGCTGTCAGCAAACGTCTTCAGCTTTAAATTTCGGGATCGCTCCTCTGCACCGCACAGATCCCCTGTCCAGTGGGAAATGTCTGTGTCGTTTGCTGTCAGTTCATGTGTGTGATTCTTGCTTCCTCAACGAGAATACAAGCTCCCCAGAGCTGGATCCTCCACAGTGCTGCGCAGAGGCAGCAAGGAAGAGCTGATGTTCCGTACAAGGACCCTGGCTGATGGCTGCATCTGGGCTCTGTCATCCTTAAGTAAACTCAGATTGCAGGTCAAATACATACACACCCCCATCTCTTTTTTCTATAACTTCCTGTTCTTCTCCCATAGGCCCAGTGTGCAATAACTGGGTGGCTCATTCAGCTGTGTTGTTGAATCTGCAAAGCTTATCCAGACTCTGGACCATGGTGACCCCTCTGAGTCCCGTAGTCCAGTAAGAATGGTCTAAAGCCGAGCCAGCTTTGTCTCTTGCAACAAACTACACTTTCGTTGGGGGCCTTTTCAGGAGGAGGTGGGAATTCGGGCTGGGCCTCCAGTGAGTGCTAGAGGAGGAGGAAGGCCAGACGTGAAGGGCACTGTGGGGCAAAGGAGTAATGTGGGCAGGAATAGGAGGCAGCTCCGAGAGTGGCTGCAGCTCAGTTAGTGATGGGTGGCCAGCCTGGACAGACTTAGATTCCAGCTAACCCTTCCCACCTCGTCCTCGTCCTCGTCCTCGGGCAAGTCCCACAACACCAGGCTGCTGAGGGCGGAGGCATCTGGAGCGACGCCAGGAAGCTTTGGAGTTGGTTGATATGGGACCGGGTTCTTAAGTAGCGAAGTGGCTCACAAAAAGCAGTATTTAGGGCTCCATTTTGAAATTAGCAAATATTTAGTTTCCGGCTGACTCCCTTTTGCCACCCAACAGGCTTTGACTTAGCTCTGCTGCATGAGCACAGAGCATGCACATTAATTGTCATTACCTCAGCCAAACATAAGTAGGGAAGCCAACTTGCTTTGAAATTCATACAGTGTATCACAAAATTAAACGAAAGTATTTTGTTAGCCAGGCTACTATTTCTTTCTAATAATATGGGGCTTTGGAAAGTTTATGGTAATTAGCCAGAGAATCCAGGAATTACTTAGTTTTGCATTGTATAAGGTTCTCAGGAAAGCCGGGGGCCTGCCTTGTAGATGCATGCAAATCTTTTATTACCATTTCCCCCTGGGTCCCCGAGTAAACTGTTTTTGCTGAATACTCTAGTCACCCATAAATTGGAGCCAGCATACAGTGTGATGATCAGAATAAACAAACAGAAAGGGTAATAAGGCACACCAAATAATCACTGATGACCTCAGCAATTTTATTAACAAATTTATTTCCCTAATTTATTTCCCAATGCCCTTGAGTGGAGCATCTGTGCTCCACTCAAGGGCATTGTAATAGCTTGCACAGCGCCGAAGAAGGAATTAATTAGAACTGGTTGCTCTTTGTTTCGCCTTCACACTCGTCCACCCACCCACCGGTCTTGTAAACATTGCGCCTGGTTTCCTCCGTCCTCCAGGCTCCTCATTTATGACTCCCCCACCCCCGCCGCCTCCTAAACAAACAGAAAGCTGAGTGTGTAGCGTAACACCAGAGGCTCCTCCGCATGCACATCGGCCTCCTCTGGAAGCTGCATTTCACCGCCAGGTTCTGGCAGAATGGCTGCTTCCAGCAGGAACTTGGAAGTCCAGAAAGAGACCTTTCCTCCACGGGCGCAGTGGGGCTCCGGGGGCTGGTTTGCTAGCTCGGCGGGGGTGGTCCTGTCCGTGCAGAACCTGGCATGCAGCTGGTGAGATGGGCAGCGCGGTCCCCCCTCACCCTGCAGTGCCTCTTAGGAAGGTGAGAGGTGTTCCTCACCTGCGCCTGCCCTTGGCACAGGCCACCCATGAGGCAGACCATGACCGAGCCCCTCTTCAATGAGGGTTTGCATCACAGCTGGCCAGGACGGCAGCATGACAAGGAAGCATGTTAAGTCAAACACTGCAGAGTCTCGCTGTGATGCTGCCTCTAATTCCTGCATCATCTCACCCGACCATCCAGTCTGAGCGACCAGCGTTAGCACGAGGCGCCAGGCGTGTGATTATCTCCGGAGCTGCCTTCTTCAGCTTCAGCAGCTCTTCACTCAGCCCGCCGTGGAGTGATGGCTCCTGGAAGTAGCTATGATTATGACGAAGACGTCTAAGGGGTGTCTAGACTATCCTACAGTAGGTCTCTTTGGAATCTACGCTGCAGAACCCGGTGGCTGCCACGGCTCACTGCCCCTCCTGGATGTCCCGCAGGATCTGGATGAGGTTTTCCAGGCCGAAAATGTAGCCTGGGTCTGGTCCGTCATAGGTGCTGCGCTCATTCCAGGAGCCCTTGTACGTGGTGTGAGCAAAGTCGATCATCCGGATGTCAACTTTGGGGAGGCCTCCGGGGCAGCTGCCGGGTGCCGGCTGCGGAGCCTCCTGAGGGTGCGGGCTGCCCGGGGCACTTTCCGGCGGCTCCTGCCCGTCGTAGATGACCAGGAGGGAGCTGGAGTAGAAGCGGTATGAACTCTGGCTCCTGATGACCGAGAGGAGGGCCTGCAGCTGGCGCTGGATGGGCCCCAGCAGCTCTGTCCGGAGGCGGGTCCCGTCGTGCAGGAACTGATAGAGAGCTTGTCTGAACCCGTCGACGGAGAGTTTCCTTCCATAGTACTTGTCTTTGCAGAGAAAGTGCTTCTTATCCGTTTGGTAAACCTTATGTTAAGAAAAAGAGAAAATTCGGAAACTACAAACAAAAATTGCACCTGCCTAGCTCAGCGTCACAAGCTGACATGACATAAACAGTCCCAGGGGCAGGGCAAGGATGCTGAGATGCACAGAAAGCAGAGCTTCCTCTGTGTGCCCTCAGCTTTACATCTGCGCTGCTTCCTGCACAAGCTCCAACGGGGATCCAGGGCTAGAGACCCTTCACCTTAAGGGGCGACCCCCACCCCGAGGAAGAGGCTGGGGTGCAAATTTCCTTTGTGCAAATTTCCAATGTCAACCCAAACCATGGTTTAAACCCTGGCTTCGGCCCTCCTCAAACATCAGCAAACCCAAGATAGGAAGCGTAAGTAGGAATCTGAAATCACAGCCAATGGCCTTGGGAAGCCAGCTGGATTAAATTTCCCCAACGGAGTTTTGAAGTCCTTCCTCTGGGGATTCTAAGGAAACAAGAATGGCTCTTGGGGTAGAGTGGGGTGAATATTTTGAAGATAAAAGACAGACTAGATCAGGTGAAGATGGAGTTTGGGGGCATCTGTGCAGCTGAGGGGAGCCTGGGTAGTGAGGGAGGGGCCAGCAGCTCTGGGGCTGTGGCTCCTTGCCTTGGCACCAGCTTCCCTCCCCTCCCCTGTCATGTCTGGGCCACCAGATGGGAGCAGGGAAGAGAGGCATTCATGGGGTCAGCAGCAACGGCCCCCACTTCATGCAGACGGCACAGGTGGCAGCAGAGACTGACCTGAGGCCAGAGAATGACGTGGCTGCTTGGCACACCTAGGAAGGGCTGAGTGTACCTGGCCAACACAGTCTCGGGCCTCCCCTGCCTTCAGATGACATGATTGTTTACAGAAAACCAGTGTTGGAAGATGTCAGAAGGATATGATAGACGTGGTTTTGCCTTTGGAGGGTTGGGGACGGGCTGCTAAATCAGCCCTCAGCAATACATGCCAGGCCCACCTTCTAAATAAGCCAGATCTGTTTCAGAGGGTCCAGAGAGATTCCATTCACACCCAGCTCATCACACATGTACTCTGAGACTTCCAAGCCTTTCAAGGGGCATCTGTGCAGCCAATTTACAGACTCAGCTTCCGCTTCAAGGCGGCAGTTTCAGTTAAGGAGTGAGTGACATTCCCGTCATCCCATGCCTGGCTTTGGTGGATAGATGGTAAGAGCAAATCATGGAGAATGTTTATTTCCTCCTGTCCGCGGCCTCTGTATGAGCCATACCGGAGCAGCACAAAGAAAGTGTGGACACTGGGGCAGCAAAAAGTAACCATTCCTTTGCCCAGGCTCAGGTTGTAACCTTCCCATTCTGTTAACCAGAACAAGTAGCAAGAGCAGAAAAAGTGGCGTAAGAAGAGAGAACTTCTAATAAAAACTCAGAAACATGCCCACCAGTGGTTCAGCATCGACCTATGAACCAGAAGGTCAAGTTTATCAGGGCACATGCCCAGGTTGTGGGATCAGTCCTCAGTGGGGGGCGCGTAGGAGACAGCTGATCAATGATTCTCTCTCATTGTTGATGTTTCTCTCTCTCCCTCTCCCTTCTTCTCTGAAATCAATAAAAATATATTTTAAAAAAACACCAAAAACACAACTTGGAGACAGTCTGCCTTATGGTACGTATCTGGGAAGGCGGAGTTCATAGTCAGAGACTGCGGAATCAGCAGAGAGCTCTTCCATCTTCCCAGCCCCTGCGCTCACACTGCCCTCACAGCTCTGCTCTCCACGCCGGCAGGACTGCGTGGCCACTGGGTCTCAGCTGCCAAGACTGTTGGCACCACTGTCCTGAGAGGCGCTCTTTAAAGACCCAGCGAGCCAGACAGGATGTGTTTCCCTGGGGAAGAGGGGTGCCCGGCTGCCTCCTCTGATGCTCCCTCAAAGCCTGGTGTCTGGGTGGCGGCATCGTGCCCACCGGACCTGCCGGGCCCCTGCACCCACCTGCATGCCGCAGATGCGCACGCCCAGGCAGGCCGAGGTGCTCTGCGCGCACTTGGTCATGTGGCGGGCCTTCTTCTCCTCCGAGGCGTCGTCCCCGTGCTGCCGGGTCCCCATCTTCAGGTCCAGCACGCAGGGGTGCTTGTACTGTGACACGACGTTTTCCAGCAGCAGGAACCCTGGGCACGCTGGTTAAGGAAGGTCCCAGGCCAGAGGCGCCCTCCCGTGGAGGCAGGCAGGTCCTGCGAAGGGCTTTCCCTCGGGGGCCGGGCCGTGCGCACCAGGGAGAGACGCAGGTCGCTTCACAGCCCGCCCTCGGGAGCTGTGAGCAGGCGCACTTCTCCCTTTGCGCTGAGGTTGGAGTTTAAACGCAGGCCTGCTATCCCGGCAGGCTTTGCCCACTTTACTTTATGGCAGGAAATCATAGGCTAAACGCCTAGTCACCCAGTGGGCCAGTCCCTGTGGGGAGGTGAGGTGCAGGGATATTAATTTAGTGGAGGCATCATCCTGCTGAAGCCTCTCTGGGATTAGGGCTGCAGGTGGCTCTTAGCGAATCCTGGGACACAGCGCCCAAGCACAGGGAGGAGCGGGGGTGGGGGGTGGGAGTGGGGAACAGAGGGAGCTTCGGGCCCAAGTTTGCTCATGGAGGACAGGGCAGCCTGAGGTGGGGGATGCCTCCCCGAAAGTCCACCATGGCCTTCCCTCGGGGGGCCCTCCCCTTCCTCCCCACCAGCTCGTGGAGAGAATTCGGGGTAGGAGGAGGGTGTGGTGCAGGCGACCCTCCCAGCCCTCTGAGGCCCCGCTATCCCACCCAGCCTGGCAGTCGCCATTCCCATCCGCCCACAGAGGCCCCAGCGCTGGGGCAGACACAGGGCACCAGGGCACTAGGCTCCACTCAGTTCCCAGTCTGGCTCTCACATCATCTCTGACTTGTTTTGGGAAAGAACTGACTTTTTCCCTAGGTCCCAGGTTTGAGGACTCCTGCCTCCCTCACTGCCCCCTCAGTCCCTCCTCCCAGTCTCCCCCCCTCCCTCTTCATAGGTGCGCCTTCTGCCCTGGGACCCGTGGCAGGGAGGCTGGAAGGATATGGTGCTGCTTGTTCTCTGGGTACTCGGTGCAGAGGCGGGTCAGGTGGGCCTGGTGGCAGTGCAGACCCCACGGGTTGAAGCTCCCCCTCTTGGCCTGGTTCCCGTTAGCATCCTCCACCAGGAAGGCGACGTGGGTGCTGAGGTGGAACTCGGACCTCAGGAGCGCAGTGGCTGGGCTGCCGCGGAGGGAGCACAGGACAGTCAGGGCCGGGCCTGAGGCCTGGAGGGGGGTCCTCCCCTGTGACTGTGGGGCCCTCCTGGGCTGGACTCTGACCCCGACGGCCCCTGGCTCCTCTCCAGGACACGATGGGGCCTCGGATGCCCTTCCTGCCCAACCACCCCGGCACCTGGGCTGGCCAGCTGCAGCCTGCCCTCAGAGGGGGTGTAAAGTCCGCCCTCAGAGGGTCTCACTGGAGGCAGGCACTGAGGGACAGCAGCCCCGGGAGCCAGGAGGCGGGGCTTAGGCCTTCCCTGAAGCCCTCAAAGTGCCAGGGGATGGGGAGGGGGGCGTGGTCCTGGGCCGGTCTCCTGCCCGCTGCGCCTGGCTGGCTGCGAACTGAGACAATGGGCCTGGCTTCCTGACTGAGCCGACTGGGCTCTGCGGTGCTCCTCGGGGAAGGGAGCTTTCCTTGTAAGAGCTCTCGTTTTCCCACGGACATTAACCCCCAGGGATCCTTCTCATCTGGAAAAGGTCCAGGGTTTGGAGACACTCCGGGGCCCTAGCTGCCGAGGCCTTCCCTCCGCCTCGTCTGCTGAGGAAGGTGGTTTCTGAGAGGGGCCGCCCTTCCCTCACCTCCACTCTTCCGGGCTTCTGCCCAGAGACGCTTCATGGTCTCCGTGAAACAGGAACTTAATTAAGCAAACAGCACGGAGCGCCTGCTCTGCCTGGGGCCCTGCATGCTCACCAGGTGCCCGGTGAGCGCCCCAGCCCTCCCTCCAGAGGCACGGACAATGGCGCCCTCTTGCCTCAGTTCTGGACAGAGCCTCACCGGGCTCTCACGCTCTGCCCGGCCTCCTGGGCGCCCTGGGCCCTGGCACAGGGGGGAGCAATGCTGGTCCCGCTGGGGACGAGCTCCCAGCTCTGCCATCCGCCAAGTGGCCTCACCTCTCCTGGAGCGCGCGTGCCAGCTGGGCGTGATGCCACTGGGAGAGGGTCCCCGCGCCTCCGCCACCGCTGGTCTGCTGGAGCTTCTGCCATATCGCCACCACGGCCGGCCCCGCGGAGACCTTGAAGGACTCCCGGTTCTCCCGCAGGGGGCTGGCGACCAGGCTGAGGTGGCCGAGGCTGTCTTTCTGTAGGTGAACCGTGATGGTGCCTGCGGAGCACATGGGGGTGGGGGGAGGGGGTGGAGGAACCAGAGGGGATGACAAGTGTCAGGCGGCACCCTACTGAGCAGTTTAATGGCGGTGGTCACCCTTCCCTTTTCCCAGATCCTTTCTCACGCAAGAGCGATGGGCACGGCCTGGTTTAGCCTGAACCTGACCTGCTCCAGAAGGAGCCCAGAGCTGGAGCTCTCGGAAATAGCCGCGGGCTGACCTTGGCACAGCCTCTGCTCTGGGCGCTTGTCTGTGCCTTCATGAGTTGAACAAAGCAGCCTGTACCTCTGTCCTCGCATCCCAGGCCCTCTGTGCATAGCCTCCCCCTGCCCAGTCACACCACAGCTGCCCAGCTGGCCCCACCTCGGGGCGTCAGAGCTGGTTTGCCAAGAGGGGCCCCGCCACAGTGGCAGGGAGGGGGTGGCCCCATTCCTTCCTGCCCCTGGTCTTTGCCTTCTCCATCGTCCTCTCTCCCCCTCGTTGGTATCAGGCAAGCCTGCGGGGCTCACGGTCATCCACCCTCCCCTTCTCTGGCCTGGACAGCGGGGCTCACGGCTCCTCTGGTTATTAGTAGCCGCTCGGGCCGTGAAGATGGTGGGAGGAGTGTGGTGCTTTGGGCCTGAGAGATGCCCCAGCTCACAGGGCCTCCCGGCCACTGGCGGTGCAACTAAGGCTGGACGTCCCCTCCTCCCTGGGAGTGGCGGGCGAGCAAATCCAGCGAGCCACGCTGACTGGGCTCCTCCGCCGGCGGCCACGTGGGTGATCAGTCCCTTTGGGTATCTCACTCCCGTGGCAGAGTCCCAGCCTCCGTGCCTGGGGCTGGTGGGCAGCGGGTGCTGGCGAAGAGGGAGGGGCCCTCCTGGTCATGGCGCAGGAGACCGCCACGCGAGGTTTTGGGAGAGCCAGGTCTCAGTGCTGTGGTCCGCACTCGGCCTGCAGACCGGGGGGTGACAGCTTTCCGGGGTCCCTGTGGTTCCTGAGCCCCTGTGCTAATGGCTCCTTTAAAGCATGCTCCTCACGTCAGCCCTTCGCAGGGGCCTCTCATTCTCTGCTGGTCCCTGACTGAGGCGGGCTGCCCGGGCTTCCGGATATTTCTTTCCTGCCCGGCCACAGGGCCACCCTGTCAGCGTTCAAGGTAACGCCGTGGAAGCCGCTCTGAAGGCAGCTGAGCTCCAGCTTGCGTCCCGCCCGGCCCTCCGAGGCTGGTTGGGCGGACACTCGGGCTGCCCCCTAACTCAGCAGCCGCTCTCCGCAGCCATCTGCCCAGCCAGCGCCGTCCCAGGGGTCCTGTCACCTCAGGTTCCTGGTGCCCTCGTTCTGCAGGCCGAGAGTGACGTTCATTTCCTCCAGCTCCTAAAGATACTCTGCTCTCCTCAGCTCACCCCGGCTGTAAAGCCAGTGACCCTAACAGTAATGCTGTACCGAACCCCACAGTTCAGTTTACCTGGAGACCAAGCCCACAGAGCAGGGTGGCAGCAGGCAAGGACTGTGACCCTATCGTCCCCGCAGTGGCTGCCACACCCAGCGCGGCCTCCTGGGCCTATATCTGTTACCAGCGCTACGCAGGCCGACGGTCAGGGGCCTCGAGAGACTGGATATCTTGCCCAAGGTCAGAGGCCTGGCGCCCTGAGGAGCCGCCCCCACCTGGCTGTGGAAGGAGGACAGCTGTCCCAGGGGCTGAGGCTTTCCTGGGGGGCACCGTGCGGTCATAGGGCAACCCACGTGTGGCCGAGGACACCCGGTCATGTTCGTCCTGTTTGTGGAGCCAACAGGCTGCGCCCCGCCATGCTGGGAGGCGCTGCAGCGCTGGAGTCGCAGGAAGCCGGGGCCGGGGATGTGGCCAGCCCTGGGTCCTTGGTGGGGGTCATGCTTGTTCTAGGGCGGGGCACTGGCCTGGACACCATCTCGGGCCTGAGCCCACCCTCTCCCCACGTGAGAAGGGGTGAGCTCACTTGCTCCATGACTGGCCTTGGGTGCTCAGAGCCTGCTGGCTGCCTGGGAACCAGGAGGTGTATGGCCAAGGGCAAGGCCCTCCTGGGTTTCATGAAGGTCAAGTTACCGTTAGGCGGCCCCTGGCCTTTCCCACTGAGGAGGCTGTGGTGAGGGCCCTGCCAGAAACCTGCCCTGGAGCCTGGGCCTGAGGGATAAGAGTGTGCCCTTCACCGGCTTCTTCAGGCTCCAGCTCTGTCTGATCTCATCCGTCCCGAGTGTCTGAACAGATGGAGGCGAGCTGAGGCGCAAATAACCCCAAGCCAACAAAATCCAGTCATCTCTGTTTCTTTATCTCCGGAGCTACACCCAGGCTCGTGTCCTGCCTCCTCGTTCGTCTTCCTGCGCGCCTCTGGCTCTGGTTCTATCTCCGTTGGCCTGCCTGCTCTCCCCCCACTCCCCTCCCTGGCTCAGCCCGGCCCTTCTTTCTGAGGCCTGGCGCAGATCAGGCCCTGGAGCAGTCTTGAGCTGCCTCCTTGACGGCCTCCTTGATGGGAGCAGGGTGTTGGTGAATCCAGTCTGCTAGAGACTTGGATCGTTCTTTTCCTCAATAGCTATGCTGGCCCAGGCCTGGCCTCCCACTTGCCCTGTGTGTCCATGGGGACGAGGCCTCAGAGGCCCATGGCTTCCCAGAATGCTGCCCCTGCCTGGGGAGCCCCGGCTGCCTGCTCCCCAGTCTCCCCAAGCAGCTCGACCTGCCGCAGTGCCAGCTGGACAGACGGTGCTCCCTGCCACTATCACCACGGCACTGTCTCAGCAGTTTTGGTTTAGCTGAGCAGCTTCCTCCGCCGTGAATATTCTGTCATATGTTTATTTTTAAGCTCATGAGAGCCTTTGTTGGCCACTTGCTGTCTGTAATCTGAACCAGGCTCATCCATGAGCCAGCTAGACCCCGGAACGTGTCCTCACTCACCCGAAGCCGGCGGGCAGGCTGGGAGGCAGAGGCACGCAGCCCCAAGACGCTGTCACAACTGGGAGCCAGCAAAAGCCCAGGGTGAGCGCCTGGTCAGGAGGCTGTGCTTGGGAGTGAGGTCCCAGCAGCCCTGAGGCCATCTCAGTGCGGGCGGTGGTGACAGGCAGAGGCGTGCCCCATGGCACACAATGGCTGCTTCAGAAACAGCCCCTCACTCGGGGCTCTTCTCCGATTGGGGAGGAAAAGGGAGGCCCCATAGCAGCCTGTAGGCACTGGAGTGGCACCGGAGGTCGCTAGCTCAGTGGTCCCGGGCACGTCCCATCCCTCCCTCCCTGGGCTGGGTGGCCCTGGCACTGAGCTGCAGGATCCAGAGCTTCTCCTGGCTTAGGAGGCCAATGCCTTATCCATTAGGCCACTGGGGCTTCTCAGAGCTTCTCTTGGGAGTCAGACCTTGAGGCTTTGGATCCCGGCTCTGCCTCCCACTGGCTGTACCCTAAGGCAAGTCAGGTGACCTCTCTGCCTCAGTGCCCTCACCTGGGAAATGGGGCTGCTGGTCCCCACCACAGGGGGCTGCTGTGAGGATTGGGTCTGTACCCGCAGACTGTGCACAGGGAGTTGTGTTGGGCACTGAGGGACCACCAAGGGTGAGCAGATGGGACTCTAACTTTAGTGTGAGATGATGTGCCCAGCCGAGAGCCCTAAGGGTCCCTTTCCCTCTCCCCACCTCAGCTCCCTGCACTGAGGGCGAGGGTCCCCCGGGCCCCACTCCAGTGTCTGTAGGTGTGTTTCCTTAGGTGGGCCCTGAGTGGTGCTCGTGAGTGGGTCAGCGTGTCTGTGTCATTGGAATCTCAGACTGGGTGTTGCCCCCTCCCCCTCCGCAGGGCTGCGTGGTCTCACCTGGGCGGTGTCTGTGGTTCCCTGAAGCAGATGTTAGGAAACACCATCTCCAGAGGGAAGCCCAGGGCAGGGACAGAAGGTCCCGTGGCTGGTGACGTGTGTAGCTCCGAGCCTCCGTCAGATTAATCTATCACCTTAGCAGAGCCCCAAGCCGGCTGGATATGGGAAGGGCCCCACCCAAGGGACAATCAGGGCAGGGGCAGGGTGGACAGTAGACTGGTGCCCGAGGGTGGTGCAGTCTCACCCCAGAGGACGGGCACATGGGGACAGGACGGGGATGGCAGCTTCGCTCACTCTCCTGCCTTGCCAGGGCCTGCGCTCCAGAGCTGTGTGGAAGCGTGAAATGCCGCTGACAGGCCACCCAGAAAGGACCTGCTGCCCCTTTCTGGGTGGCCTGTCAGCAGCATTTCACTGATAAAAAGGACAGACATTCATTCCAGGGGGTGGTCTGACAAGATGGGCAGTGACCACGGAGCCCCAGAAGGCCCCAGGGGAGGCCCGCCCAGGCTGCACCCCCCACCCGTCTAGTGTCTGATGCCATTATCCAGTCTCAGACTCTCAGGAGGGCCCAGGGCTCAGGCCAGTGGTCTCAAATGGGGTGTTCTGATTCCCAGGTCTGGGGTGGGCCCTGGGAACCTGCATGTCCCTTCTCTCTCTCTCCCCCACTCCCCGCAATCCCAGCGACTCGGGTGTAGTGTGAGATCAGCCGCACTGGGGCGCTGATGTAGACAGGCCGCCCCCAGGCTCTCAATCACTGCGATGCACTATGGACACCTGGTCACATCTGGACCCTCTAAAGGAGGCCTTTTCACTGAGTATGCATGCCATCGGGCTTGGGGGGCCCGGGAACCTCATGTACAGGAGGCTGGGCGTGGACCACAGCCGAGGCTCTGCCAGGAGGTCCTGCCTGGGCCCGTGTGGGCAGCCCCCACCAGAGCCCCCTGGTGCTCAGGGCAGAATATACAGTGCTCCGTGCCCGCCTCCCCAGGTCCTGTTGAGGGCAGCCCACGCCCCTGCTTTGCCCTGGACGAGGCTTCCTAAACCTGGGGTGTCCCAGCCCGCCATGTCCTGTCCTAGGCCGGGGCAGGAGGTCCCGCCTGCCCTGTGTTTCCAGCCACGCGCTCCAAGCCCAGCCACGCGCCCACTTCACTCAGTTCCTAATTCCTCGAAGCCGGTGCTTGAGCTAATTTGGAAGGACTCCAAATGCTATTATACTCCAGACCCGGAACTTGAAGTTCTGAGAAACTAGGACAGCAAACTGGCTGCGGGAGAACTGTCTCCATGGCAACCGCCACACACACCAGACCGGCCTGGCCCAGTGCGGTGGCCCCGGCGCGTCTGCGCGGACACTCACCTCTGTACTGTGGGGTGAAGCGCCTCATGGCCAGTGGCAGGGACTCGTAGAACCGCTGCTCCCGGGAGACCAGGGGCTTGCACACGGTGTCCTCGTCATACTTCATCACACTCAGGTGCCCCCCCACCTGGTGCAGGAAGGGCTCCAGGAGCACCAGCCCCGCGTCCCCAGGGTCCACACTGTCCTGCACAACCATGTCCTGAGGCAGCAGCTGAAGCTCCAGGACAGAAGGCCAGGCGTCAGAGGTCCGCACCTTTCTCCTGGGCCTTGGCCGCTCTCATAGCACAGCTTTCTTCCCAGCTGTGGACGGCGGCCCCTGGAGAGCAGAGGACGGTGGAAGTGACGTGAGCGACACAGAGCCCCCCAGTGCTCACCCCCAGCCACCGGGAGGGACACAGAGCCCCCCAGCCCCCACCCACGGGGAGGGACACAGAGCCCCCCAGTGCTCAACCCCCAGCCACCGGGAGGGACACAGAGCCCCCCAGCTCCGGGGAGTGGACAAGACCGTAAATGGGCATCGATTACTTCTGGAATAATTTGTTACAAGAAACTAGGAACAGTGGTTGCCCCCGGGGAGCAGGCTGAGAGGAAGACTTCTCTACTAGTAAAATACACTTTTGTACCTTTTGCATTTAAATATTCAAACATTAAAAACAAAAACAAACAAACCAGTACACATGACTATAGGCTTCCAGAGTTCTGCCTGCCTCCCTGGGGGAACACGACCCCAGGCCCAGGCTGTCGGGGACTCAGCATCCACAGGGCCTGGGGTGCAGCAAGGCTTCATCTTCGCAGGTAGAGTGCACCATGGATTTCCACCATGGCTCCACAACATAACCTGTGACCTTGGGCCTCTAAACCTCTTTTGCCTCAGTGTTCTGTGGAATGGGATCGTGATGGTGCCTGCCTCATGGAGTTAGGGGCAGAATTGAGATAACAAGTGGGCCCAGGGCCCAGAGCTAAGTGCTCAATAAATGTGATTGATCATGAGTATTTCTGGCATTACTCTCTCACCACCACTTTGCAAATGAGGAAAGCGAGGCCCGAGCCTCCTGGCCTGGGGTCCAGGAGCAGAGGCAGAAGTAAAGCAGACTTCCCGCCTCTGGGCCTAGTCCTCCGTCGCCTGCTGCTCCCCTTTCCTCCCTAATGGTGGGCTTGCTGGGCCTCAGGCAGATGCTGGGACTTGGCTGCAAATGCAGCTCCTACAGCGTCCTGCCCTTGTCTCGGGAGGGTGGCCAGGAGACACTTCCTGAGGACGCTCTCACAGCGGAGCCTGTCACTGCCGAGTTATTAATACTCCCCTCTGCGGGGCTCCCGGCCGAGGAGGTGACCAGGCTGGGCGGTGCTGGGCATGATGGACCCTCCAAACGACCTTCAGTCCAGACGGGGAGTGGCCAGCTGACTTCTAGCACAGCAGTGCCTGTCGCTGTGTGTGGACCCTGGCCCAGAGGGCCTCCCTCGCTGCCTGCCAGAAGGCCCTGAAAACCCCAGCCTGCTCTCCTTCCCCAGGGGCCTCCCCCATCTGCTACTGCTCCGAGCAGAGTGCCCGCCCCTTAGGAAGCGGCAGGCGTGTTCTGCCTGGTTTGTGCATTTGCTTTCTGGGTGCAGGGTGAGGCGTCAGAGCTGCCTGCGTGGCTGGGCCTGGCTGTGCAGGTGGGGCTGCTGGGGAAGCCTTGGGGTGAGGAGGCCAGGCCTGGTGGCGAGGCGGGTTGTGCCTAAGACCACAGCGCAAGCCTTCCCCTGCTCTGCTCTCAGACTGCAGAGGCGAGCCCACCTGGGAAGGCTCAGAAAAGCCCTCTGGGACCTGTGAAAAGAAGTTGGCGAGAGGCACCAAGATCCGGGGGTGGGGGTGGGGTGGGATCGGAAATGGCCCAGGCCCTGGCCAGCGTGGCTCAGTTGGCTGAGTGTCGTCCTATGCCCTGAGAGGTCACCGGTTTGATTCCCAGTTGGGGCACATGCCTGGGTTGTAGGCTCGATCCTGGGGGGCCTGCAGGAGGCAGCCAATCCACGTTTCTCTCTCTCTCATTGATGTTTCTCTCCTCTCATCCTCTCTCTTTAAAATAAATATAAATATAAACATATTTAAAAAAAAAATCAGCCCAAGTCTGAGTTGATGTCACAGTTGCTTGGCAAATCCAGTCCTGCTGTGACTTTGGTGGAGATCCAAAGGAAGAAGAGAAAAACTGAGGTGGCCAGGCTGGCCTGGGGCATCCTCTGCCAGCTCTCCTGAGCCTGGGGCGAGGAGGCAGAGGCTCTCCTGTCATTAGAGGGACAGCAGATTGTAAGATTCACTTACAGCTACTCCTGGAAGGAACCTGGGCCCTGTCCCTCACACTGTCTCCTGGGTCAGGCCCAGCACTAACCAGGCTGGCCCAGCTGAGCAGCCCAGCTCGCTGACACTCCCCGGCAGCGCCTCAGCAGCCCCCCACAGCCCCCTCCCGCACTGGGCAGGCCTCTGCCGGCCTCTCCACCCCCCCACTCCCTGAGGGGCTCTAAGCCCAGGGTGGCAGCTCACAGCGCAGCGAGGGAAGGAAGTGATGCTGGCGGTAACATCGCCCCTGTGTGGGCCGGGCAGTGCTGCAGGTGCTTTACATAGATGAGCGGTTAAAGCATCTCCACCACCGGGACCCACTTCACGGACGAGGAAAATGAGGCACAGAGAGGCTAAGTAACTTGCCCATGTGCACCCAGCTAGTGTGGGGAGAACGGGGATTTGAACATTAGCCCAGAGCCTGCCTCCCCGCCATGCCGTGGGGCGGCTGAGGCTACTGTGATCTCTGAGAGTCGGGAACGGAGCCCCAGGAAGGCTGGGACTTGATCAGTGACCCCAAGTCGCTGGCTGTGCTGGGACAGGACAAGATTTCTTATCCCCAAGTTGATGTCACAGTTCTTATCTCTCCGACCCTGATGATCTAGTGGCGTGTGGGCTCCTCGCCTCAGCCTTCAGGAGTGTCAGTGCACCTAGAGCCTGGGCCACGACAGACCCGAGGCTCTGCCATTCCCAGCCGCCCTCGGGGCCCTGGCTGAGCCTTTCAGAGCCGGGAGGAGCCCCAGGGCGACCCGGGCTCTCCCGCCCTAGGTGGGGCGAGGTGATAGCAACGGATGTCTGCTGGGCAGTCACCCGTACTTTTCACAAAGCTGGACTGGAAGCCGGGGAAGCCGAGGCTCTTTCCCTCAAGGGTCCTCCTAGCGTGTATCTAGGAGACGTCTCAGACCGGAGCTGCTGTGGCTAACGGGCTGGTGAGCAGGAGTGGCGGAGGGCAGCGGGCATGGCGTCAGCATGGACCACCTCCCGCGGCAGGAAGCTGACCCTGGATTCCCAAGAAGCCGGAGGTTTCCTCTCTGTCTGGTGTGCAGCCTCCTGCTCTGGGCGAAGCCAGAGAAGGCCTCCATCCCCATTCCTCCTCCGAGTCCCAAGAACTAATTCAACCCGCAGACCGCTGGGCCCAGGCCTTCCTTTGGCGGCAGGCCCTCGTCATTGGCGCGGGCCTTGGCCCGGGCCCAGCGCCTCTGGGCCCTGGGTCTGTCCTCACTGGGCAAGGAGCAGGAGCCGTCTGCCCGGCCCCCCAGCTGGCCGAGGCCCCGGGACACACTGGGCTCCCTCCCACCGCCTCGGCCTGATCACGATGCTTCAGGGAGGCTCTTCCCCGCGTCCCCACACACGCCCATCCCTGCGTGGGTGACTCTCAGCTGGCTCAGCCTGGTGCTGGGAGGGCAGGAGAGGCACTCGCCTGAGATGGCCCTCACTCCTCTGACGCGACCCTCACGCCTCCCCTCTGACACAAAGCTCATGCCCCTGACGCAGCCCTCACACGGCCCTCATGCCCCCGACAAGGCCCTCACACCCCCAACACGGCCCTCACGCCTCTGACGGGGCCCTCACACCCTCCGACGTGGCTCTTACAGCCTCCAACGCGGCCCTCACGCCTCCGACACAGACCTCACAGCCTCGCCCGCCCCTGGCGCATCTCCCTCTGGATCCCGGGTCCCGGGTCCCAAGCAGGCGCTCAGGCCAGCGTCCTGTGCCACGCCCCTCCACGCGGTGTGCCTCGGCGGTGGACATCAGACCCGGGAGCCTTTCAGACCCTGGCGGCTGGGCGTGCGGGGCCACAGCGGGCAGCATGCCGCGTGGACGCTCCCCGGGCGCGGGCAGGTGGGCTATCGGTGCCCGGGTGAGGGTGCCCGCCGGCCTGTGGAGGCCTTGCCCAGAGCCGCAGCAGCACCCGCATCCTCTGCAGACTCCACACAGCCACGGAGCACCGTCATTTCTCAAGTGTATGCCAGCGCTTGGGTGATTACCGAGATACAAATTCATTTAAAGGCATTATTACATTCCTTGGCGTTTTTATCATCATCTATTTTCTCAATCAACAGATACTAAAAGTGTAATGAGCATCGCAGGGGACTCGTAGGGAAACATCACGCTGAAAATGGGCCCTCGTTAGAAAGGGGGAGGGGTGTTGGCCTGGCCCGGGTGCTGGTGGGGGCTTGAGGAGGAGCTGTTTGTGTGCAGGGAGCCGTAGGGAGGAGGGCGGCTGCTCGGGAGAAGAGGCAGGATGCTGCGGGGCCTGGCCGGGTTCATGGCCCCACACTTGCTGGACATCGTGAGGGGACAGAGGGCAGCTGCCGTGCGATCAGAGGTGCCTGAGCCCGCGCTCACTGCAGGGAGGAGGGGCGCTGCGATCGTGGGTGGAGCCTTGGGGGCCAGCTCCCTATAAGCCCGGGAGGGGCCTCCTGGGAGGGGACAGCGAAGAGACAGCAGGCAGCCATGGAAGACGGAGATCTGGTGTGGCCTGCGGGTTCACAGCGCAGCCGTGGCCTCTGAGGCCGCCCACCCGAAGGCCTCTCGGGCCAGAGGCCGGCGCAGGCACCATTCAGCGCCCGAGACGCCGGAGCACCTTCCATCGGGAGGGAGGAGGGCCCGGCAGCGTGGGAGCCGCTCAGGTGGTGAGGCGCTGGGCTGTGCGCCTCTCCTGCTTGGAGCGGCCGTCCCGGGGGAAGCACAGGATGATTTCCCGGCGGAAAAGGCACGGGTTAATCCGTTCTAAAATGACTCGGGGGCTGTGGGCCCTGTCCTGCCTGGACACGGGGGACGCCCCTCGGCGCCCCCCAGCGAGGCCGAGTCCAGGCTCCACCGCAGAGCCAGCCTTCAGCGGCAGCTACTCACGTCCTGGCCGGTTCTGTCCCTTCTGAGAA